AAATGTTTGCAATAACCTCGCACCTTAGAGAAGTTATTATTTTGAATCATTATTATGTACACAAGTACTTTTTTGTTGACTTTTATTGAGCTCTACATTTTTTTTCTGCTCCCCTCCTCTTCAACCCTCCCCCAAGATCCCCATGCTCCCAATTTGACTCAAGAGATCTTGTCTTTTTCTACATCCCATGTAGATTAGATCTATGTATGTCTCCCATAGTGTCCTCATTGTTGTTTAACTTCTCTGGGATTGTGATTTGTGGGCTGGTTTTCTTTGCTTTATGTTTAAAAACCACTTACGAGTGAGTACATGTGATACTTGTCTTTCTGTGTATGGGTTACCTCAGTCAAAATGATGTTTTCTAGCTCCATTCATTTTCCTGCAAATATCAAGATGTCATTTCTGTGTCTGCTATGTAGTACTCCATTGTGTAAATGTACCACATTTTCCTTATCCATTCTTCAGTCGAGAGGCATTTAGGTTGTTTCCAGGTTCTGGCTATGACAAACAAAGCTGCTATGAACATAGTTGAGCACATGTCCTTGTGGAACGATTGAGCATCCTTTATCTATATCTGTCACCATGCACAAAACTCAAGTCCAAGTGGATCAAAGACCTCAACATAAAGCCAGCCACACTGAACCTTATAGAAGAGAAAGAGGGAAGTACACTTGAACACATTGGCACAAGAGACTACTTCCTAAATGTAACTCCAGCAGCACAGACACTAAGAGAAACAATAAATGGGACCTCCTGAAACTGAAAAGCTTCTGTAAAGCAAAGGACACAATCAACAAGACAAAATGTTTACAAGTACTTTAAAAGCTATATTGATATAAAATTAACCATCCAGTTTTAGAGCCCAGGAACTTTTTTTTTGGAACATTTGTTATTTTATGTAAATGCAATAAACCCATGGTATACCTGAGTTTGAAATCCCAGATATGTGTAGCATACTGAACATGTCAGAACAAAAAATACCCTTACAGTTTGGATATGAAGTATCTCTCAGAAGGTCCATATGTTGAACACTTAATCCTCAGCTGATAGAGCCAATCATAAAGACATAAAGAATAAGTGAGGCAAAGAATGATGATAAGTGCTATGGAATATTATCTCCTGTGTATCACCATCATGGTCTCACAGCAAGTATGGTTAGCTGCACAAGACCCTATACAAGATCAAGTCAGCCCAAACCACACCATAGGTGGGGTAGATTATATCCAGGCCCTGGCACTTATTGGTGAGCATTTGGAAGTATATGGTTGCTAAAGGAGACAAAAAATCTATTGATGATGTGCCAACTACAGGGTACAGTGGATGATCTACTGTCCATATACCTATGGGAAGTAGTAACCAGACTTACTGAGTAATTTAATAAAAGAAAATTAAGTTGAGAAAGGCATGATAGGCAAACAAGGGAGGGATTAGAGGGAGAAGTTGTGGGCAGATATTATTGTATTTCATTGTATAGATGAATGAAACCCTCAAAAATAAGAGTTCATAAAGACTACATAGACTTCGTTTTTATTAGATAGAAAAGCTTTCCTAGGCATCAAGAAAAAATGAAGTATTAATTTATTGAGTGAGTATGCAAACGTGTGTGTGTGGAAGTCAGAAGAAAATTTTCAGGAGGCAGTTCTCACCACCATGTGGGTCTCATCTATCTAACTCAATCTATCAGGCTTAAGAACAAGTAACCTTATCTAATAAACCATTTTGACAATCTTAATTGATGGTTTTAATTATGCAAGCATGCCAGTCCAGAGTGGACCAAGTGGGGTAGACACTGCTTGCACCAATTGGAGGAAGAGATGGGTAGATGCCAATGCCAGAATTCATTCAACACCCTAAAAGCAACATGGTAACACCAGGATCCATGGGTCATACAACAGGAAAACTTGATCATCCTAAACCCGAAGAAGCAGAAGAAAATGATTTTAAATGTAACTTTATGATGATAATGGAGACATTTAAAGAGGAAATGAAAAATTCCTTTAAAGAAATGGAGGAAAAGACAAACAAAAATTGGAAGTAATCAATAAATCTCTCAAACAAACCCAAGAAAACAAAGAAAAAACAATCAAACAGGTGAAACAAATGGTTCAAACAGTTCAAGACTTGAAGGCTAAAATATAGGTAATAAACAAAACACAAACCAAAGGAATTCTGGATATGGAAAACTTGGGTAAAAGATTGGGAACTACAGATGCAAACATAACCACCAAAATACAAGAGATGGAAGAGAGAATCTACGGTGTTGAAGATATTATAGAGGAAATAGATTCATCAGTCAAAAAAAAAACATTAAATTCAACAAATTCTTAACACAAAGCATCCAGAAAATCTGGGACACTATGAAAAGACCAAATCTTAGAAGATAAGAAGAATAGAAGAAGAACTCCAGATCAAAGGCCCAGAAAATATATTTAACAAAATCAAAGAAGAAAACTTTCCCAACCTAAGAAAGGATATCCCTATGAAGGCACAAGAAGCTTACAGAACACCAAATAGATTACAGACACAAAAAATTCCCCTTGCCATATAATAATCAAAGCACAAAACATACAAAATAAACATATAATATTAAGAGCTGCAAAGAAAAAAAGGTCAAGTAAAATATAAAGGCAGACCTATCAGAATTACACCTGACTTTTCATTGGAAACACCAAAAGCTAGAAGGTCCTGGGCAGGTGTGCTGCAGACACTAAGAGACCACAGATGCAAGCCCAGACTACTATACCCAGAAAAGCCTTCAATCACCGTCAATGGAGAAAACAAGATATTCTATGAAAAAAACAGATTTAAACAATACCTATCCACAAATCCAGCCGTACAGAAAGTGCTAGAAGGAAAACTCCAACCCAAGGAAGTTAACTACACCCAGAAAAACAAAGGCAAAATATAACCTCATGCCAGCAAACCTTAAAGAAGATGAATACACAAACACTACCACCAAAAAACAACAGGAGTTAATAATTACTGTTCATTAATACCTCTTAATATTAATGGACTCAATCTACCTATAAAAAGACACAGAGTAAAAGAATGAATACAAAAGAATGAATCCAATCTTCTGCTGTGAAAAAGAAACACACCTCAACCTCAAAGACAGATATTGCCTCAGAGTGAAAATTGGGAAAAGATTTGCCAATCAAATGGACCTAATTAAACAAGCAGTTATAGCTATTCTAGTATCTAACAAAATAGACTTTAAACTAAAATTAATCGGAAGAGATGGAGAAAAACATTTCATACTCATTACAGGAACAATCCATCAAGATGAAGTCTCAATCCTGAACATCTATACCCCAAAGACAAGAGCACCCCATATGTAAAAGACAGGGCTATCAGACAGAAACTTAATAATAAGAGAACTAAACAGATGTCCTGACTCAAATGTGTAGTGTTAAGGGTGGCGGGGCTGCGTCCCCAACACCTCAGCCGCCTGCCCTGCTAGCTTATGCCCGAAATAACAACACACAAACTGTATTCATTTAAACACTGCTTTGCCCATTCTCTTCTAGGCTAATTCTCACATATTAATTTAGCCCATTTCTAATCATCTGTATATAGCACCCCAAGGTGCGCTTACCGGGAAGATTCTAGCCTATGTCCATCCTGGGTCAGAGCTTCATAGCGTGCGTCTGCCCAGGAGCCAGGAGCATGGCGTCTCTCTCAGGCGTCTGCTCCCGAGAGGACAGCTGTCGAGACTCTGAGCTCACTTCCTCTTCCTCCCAGCGTTCTGTTCTGTTTACTCCTCCCACATATCCTCTAACCAATAAAATGGGCCAAGGCAGTTCCTTTATTAGCCAATGACCTTCCTCCATCATATATATATATATATATATATATATATATATATATATATATATTCACAGTTAGCATCTGTGTATAAAGCATTGCATTTGGTAAGGGAGATGAGGAGGAATGTCCATTATGTTTCCCAAACAGAACCATTAGGAAACAAAGTGTTTTGTCCGCTGAATGCTTGGGTACTAAAAGCCTACAATAGCCTTAGCCATCACATATTATTAATCATGATGGGGCTTGTATAATGAGAATCACAGAATTGAACATGGAGAGTGACAGGTCATAATCACATGTATGTACGTCCTTACATTTATATGCATATCTATATTGCAAATACTACCCCCAACGCTTGGCTTGTTATTATCTGAAAAAGAGAAAAACTCAGTTCTTAATTGTCTTTTACTTTGTATATGTATATACTGCGGTCTGTGTACATATTCTTTGTTTATAGGTGTGCTAGGGTTTGAACTCAGGTCCTCATCCTTGCACAAGCACTTTATTTACTGAACCCTCTCCCTACTCTTTAAATTTTCACTCTAAAACACCACAGCTATTCCCTGACTCTCTTCCAATTGTATGACTATTTTTAAAATGCTATAGTTAAAAATGTAAATAACTCTTAAATTTATTAAAGAGATTTGTGTTATGGCTCTTTTAGACAGCATCCAGAGTGAATATGATGATCTATATATAGATAATTCCTGACCAATGATGGTTTTGCTTAAAAAATTTTCAAGCTTTACAGTGCTGAGAAAGTGATAACGCATTCAGTAGTACTGTATTTAAGCTTTTGAATTTTGAGATTTTTCTGGTCAGTGCATAACTCTTTGCAGATGGTTTTCAGCTCAAAGGAGCAGCAGGTCTCCATTACCTTTGTCAGCCATGCAACCATAAAAGACCTGAAACTTCGGTGTACTGATCTTTAAGCTATGATGCTTGGTAGTCAAGTTTATTAAATGCAGTAAATGAATGAGGTTTTCAACTGATAATCAATTTCTTTGGGACTATCTCCATTCTAATGAGGGACTTCTATATTTGTTGTTTGCTGGCATGGAAAATAAGGCTATGCCACTTGAAGCAACACATCTGATTTTAGGTTTTTGTCATTATCAGAATAAATATTTGTTCATATTTACCATCTTATGACCATACTGATTTTTTCCTATTATTTTGTTTTGTATTTTCAGAAAGAATTTTGGAGCACCTACACAAAAGCACAACAAGGAGAGACCAATAGAGGAAGTGACTGGTTTCAATTTTATCTTACTTTCCCATTAATCTTTGGCCTCTTCATTATTCTCCTTGTCATCTTTTTAATCTGGAGATGTTTTCTAAGAAACAAAACTCGGAGACAGACAGTAACTGAAAGTCACATTCCTTTCCCTCAACATCTTAACATTATTACACCACCTCCTCCACCAGATGAAGTCTTTGATAACAGTGGATTGTCTCCAGGCTTTTTGGAATACGTTGTTGGGCGCTCCGATTCTGTCTCCACTCGCCTTTCCAACTGTGATCCCCCACCAACCTATGAGGAAGCCACTGGCCAGGTGAACTTGAGAAGGAGTGAAACAGAACCTCATTTAGACCCACCACCAGAATATGAGGACATAGTAAACTCCAGCTCAGCTAGTGCCATTGCTATGGTGCCTGTGGTCACCACCATCAAATGAAGCTGCAAACATCTTTTTACTCAAATCATTTCTAAAATACTAATGGAAGAACTTTCTAGCACTTTACCACTACATAAATGTGCATTGACTTATTTTATTGGATTCTTACAGCATACCACTTTACATTAACTGGTTGATTTATCTTTAGTTTTGTTTCTTATTATAAAAGCATTATCTATGTTCATTTTTACAAGAAGAAACATGAAGGAAAGACATGCCTACAGTGAAGATCTGTAAGTGCTGTGATACCATATGCATGTCTTTACAAATGCACAAATATGTATATGTATGTATTGCACACACACACACACACACACACACACACAGACATATATAGCCACATATGCATCATCCAGTTTGTGGATAACTCTTGTAAAATTAACTAATTTCCATTATACCACCTGTAAAGACAGCATTACTTACCAAAATTGAAAAGGCAAGTGGAACCAACAGTTTATGTGATAGTTAGCAACATGCAATGTTTTCTAACCATTATAGATGTTGGTTAAACTCCCAATTCTTTCTTGAAAGGAAAAAAATGTACATGGATTAATTCTCATTTTAGAGACATCTCACAGAGGGAGAGGGAGACAGAGATTATAGTATATAACAAGGAAATCATTGACCATTATTGGCATTTAGCTCATATTGTACCAGGATTTTTCTTCTTGGCTGATTACCACACACTATCCCATTAAAATTTGCTACCATCTTTGAATGCTTCATGCCATTCATATTATTATCTTGTTTGCAAGAATTTCTAGGTAATGAAATAATGTATGTGTTAAAACAGGGAGTAGATACTGACCACTCCTTTGCTCATCGTATGATGGGATAATATTTTTCTTTTACACTAATTTTTATTTTCTCATTTCTACAATAAACTCTTCATCTACTTGAAAGATTAGCTAGAACCAATTTTTGAATTATATTCTTAATGTTTTATACAGGCTGAAATCTTATTCTCAAAATTATTAGTATACAATTTTCCATTCAATTATAAGCTGTGATTTTTGTGTTGATATTCTGTTGATAAAATATGATTACACAGTATCTGCTATAGTAGATGCACACTAAATCTAGTTTCGTCCCACAAAGATCTCATTATTGTTGCTGTTTATTTTATATTCTATTAAGTTTTTTTTAGATGCAGTAGTTTTATGTCTTTCCCTTGGAGTGGGGGGAGCAGGTTGTGAATGAACTGCCAAAATAAACTATTTCAGAAGAATTTTAGAAAAGGTCAAGTGACATGATGTATGTACCAGTAATTCGTAAAATGTGAAGAACTATTCAAATCTAAGACTATAACATTAGTATTGCACTCCAGGGGGACATTTCTTCCTGTTTCCCTAGAACTGACTAGAACTTTCACATAATGACACATAGAGCACTCTGCTCCATAAATAACTAATATTTTCCTCTGAATGTACAGGGTATTATTACCTTTTGATATAATCTGGACTATATAAAAGCTGTGCCAATTTAAGTACATTTGCCAATGCAGCATAAGATGAAGAAATGCTGGAAATTATACCAAAGTACATAAATTAGTTAATAGGTCTGATAGATGGAAAAATATGGTCTCACCACAAAAATATTGCTTTGAATTTTTCTGACTATATGATCTTTACATTCTAATTAAGTCTGTAGTTATAGATGTTTGATTCAGTGTGCAAGATGATTTATAGGTTGTTTATAATTGAAAATTGAGACTATTTTTGTGGGGATTTGTGTTTGTGTTTGTGCAGCACTAATATTAGGCTTTAGATGAGACCAGTAATTTTCAAATGTGGTCACAGACCCTTAGAGTTCCTGACAGCCTTCCAGTGGATCGGTTCAACCAAAATATTTTCATCCTATCTGAAGACATTATTTATTTCTTTACTCTATGTCTCTCAAAACAGAATTGAAAATGGAAAAAAATAGTCTTCCCACACATGTTTTTAAAAATGAAAATATAGCTATTTTTCATAAAAATTATACACCTGTATTGGCATATATTTTTTTTAAGTTTTAGATGAGCTAGGGTTTTAATTTTTCAGTTCATTTCTAACATGCTAAGTATTGATAGATATAAATCTCAAAAAACAAAAGTTCTTTAGAATCTAGATTTCCCAAAAAATGTAAAGGGGGATCCAGAAACCAAAATTTTAAATTAGACAAAAACACAAGACATATGGTCATTAAGTTAGGTTTTTGTTCTTGTAACATGATTTTACATTTTGAAGTCTGAATATTAGATTTAACATTTCCCGCACTGAAGTATAAGAATGAGTGATGGTTCTTGGAACAAAAACCAAATGTTTAGACAACTATTTAGATTATTGATCAGAAAAAAACACTACTTCATAGTAAATAATAGTTGCACTAACCATAAATTTCATGGTAACTTTTCCATGATAATGATAGAATAAACAAAATACTTTCTTCAAGAAATTTGATTTTACATTTTTTTGTTGTGTTTGAGTACACTTTAGGTTTCATACTTTTAAAATACCCTTTGCTAGACCTTCTGGTTTTATAAATTGAGTTTCTTAACATTTATTATAATTAAGGGGCTTATCTGGAATAATGTATATTTTTATGCTTTGCCTTTCCTACTTGATTGATACTGCATTTGCCTTGATCATTTTTAATAAAGATTTATTTTTGCAGAATATACTTTATATCTTTCTAAACAGTGAGTAAATGGAATTAAATGGTTTATATTAAATAAAAGGATCTGCTCATGGTTCCTCAAGTAGAAAGATTTTCAAACCTCAACCTGCATTGCTTGTGTCTGGAATCCTTGAACTGGCAATTTAGGCTTGCTGCTCTAAATGTCCCAGTAAATTCTATATGATTTAAATAAACAAAATGATTGCTTCTTTTCATATTGACCAATTAAAATGGCGATGTTATATTTGTTGATTGCTAATGATAACTTCTTCAGGACTGATGATCTGATCCAGTAACTACAGAGTTAGTTTTAACTCAGTTCTATGTAAATAGCATGTATTTTATTACAATACTTCACATTTTCAAATGTTTGGTTTACATTAAATTATGGTATTTAACTTTTTATGTTTATACTAGATCCAATTTTCTTATGTTTCTGTGTTTTAGTATGCTAAATAAAGCCATTTTTAACCCAGGAGATTATTTTTCTATCATTTATTTATCATGTGATTAACTGGTAAAAAGTACTGCATGAGCTATTATAAATTACACTTTTAATTAGGTCAGATTATTGTATTTTCATATGAATTTGCAAAATATCAATACACAGAAATCAGGAATAATCTAGTGAAAAAAACGGAGTTTTTCTTTAGCATCAAAATCTTTCTAAATGAACGAAAGAAATGGAAACAAGTGCTTCATGTAAATAAAATCCCTGCTATTATATACTTCGTCAGTTCATGAGAATAGGAATGGATGTCTTCAGATACCAAAAAGCTGCCTTTTTCCTACTTAACCTGCTTTTGACATTTGCCATGTGAAAAAATAGCACATTAAAGTGTTGTGAACACATGACATTTCCCCAAGTGTCATTTCCCCAACTTAAGATAGCAAAAACTGATACCAATAGCATTATGGAAGCATTGTATATATCATTTGATTTTTCTGCTATCAAATTTTAAGTTATATTTGGGGTGAAATTTTAATTATAAATCCCAAGTGTATATTTCTGGAAAAAAAATCTTTCAGCTTGATTATGGCAAGCATGAATCATGTTTTCATACCCCAGAAGACTTCCTCGTATTAACAGCACGAGGATCTTCCTGCACACATTTGTCACTTGAGCACATCTTAAGACCCCTTCTTAGACTTGCATCTGCAGGTTTGGCTTTGGGATAGTTACCTTGTGAATTTTGTTCCTGATAGTCTTTGCTACTCACCCTTCCTCCTTTTGCTTCTCAGTCTCAACAATTTCAAAATAGTTATCTTTTTTTAACCTCCCATAGAATTGTTTTTGCCAGCTTCTTTACTAATCTATTCTGACACTATCCACCAGTTTTACTCTGACACACACACATATATACAATTTTAACTTGTTTTTTCTGTTTTATAATAGTGTACATACTATCACTTGTTTTACTTTAAAAATATATGTTGATGTGCCAGCATAACTGCTCTAGCCTTTTGGGTACCATAGTACTACACAGTTTCACTTTAGGACTTATGATATCAGCAGAGTTTAGCACATTTTACTAAAGAGAGGTACTGATATACTACTTTTGTTTACCCCAACAATTTTGGAAATAAATCTTGGTTCATTTTTCCCCAGAACTGAAGTCCAAACCCAGGAACCCTGAGCTAAATCCTCAACCCCTAAAGCTAGGTTCTTAAGGGGGAGTTGTTGTTTTTTTTTTTTTAAACAGTAACACTACTTATACATCTATAATAAAGTTATATTTTTTTCTGAGCCCTTTTACATCACTAATGCTGTTTTGAGGCAAGAGTTGTGTTTAATCAATTTAATTTCTCCAAATTCTTGAAATGTTTAAAAGCAAAGCCTGTTTAAAAGCCTCCCTTTTTATGTTATCAATTCATCAAACTCACCAGTTTTCCAGCTGATGTTCTTTTTTTTAATTGTGCATTTTTTATTGAAAAAAATTTCCGCCTCCTCTCAGCCTCCCATTTCCCTCCCCCTCCTCCCACTCCTCTCCCCCTTCCCCCACTCCTCTCCCCCTCCCCCCACTCCTCTCCCCCTCCATCTCCAGTCCGAAGAGCAGCCAGGGTTCCCTGCCCCGTGGAAAGTCCAAGGTCCTCCCCTGTCCATCCAGGTCTAGTAAGGTGAACATCCAAACTGGCTAGGCTCCCACAAAGCCAGAACATGAAGTAGAATCAAAACCCAGTGCCATTGTCCTTGGCTTCTCATCAGCCCTCATTGTTCGCCATGTTCAGAGAGTCCGCTTTTATCCCTTGCTTTTTCAACAGTGGGGCTGATCTGTTGGGAGCTTACTAAGGCCAGCTGGAATGGGACTGAAAAAGCATGGGATAAAACCAGCTGATGTTCTTAATGTTTATATTTAGCTATAATTATTATGGTTCATTGATTGATTATTTTGT